ACTTATTTGCCACTTATATTTGTGATATTCCCTGTGTTTCTCCAGCACGAATTTTGGAATATGCAGATGATGTCGTGTTATGCCAACCCATTTCTTCTTACTCTGATCTAAGTTCTTTCACTGATAATCTTGATCAAATTCAGTCATTCTCCTCCTCATCGGGGCTAACCCTGAACCCCAGTAAATGTGTTGAGTGTTTATATAGTTTTGATCGCTCTCCATATCCGACAGACCCCACAGTGATTAATAGCAATCCTTTATCCAGGGTGAATTCTNTCAGTTATTTCTACTTTTGTTTATTAATGTGTTTTCCCCATCTTACTCTACTGTTCCCCGGTTATTTTTCCTGGTTTACTAAAAACAGGACGACGCGGTCCAACCATGATTAGTCGTGTCTCTTCCATTCCTACGAATGAATAAGCTGTAAAGCTTTCCGAGTATCATGTAACTTCCTGTGTGAAATTTGACGAGAGGATTCTCACAGATCCGGTCCATTCATTGCATGCAGAACTGACACTTTGTCATTCTCATCATTCAACACGCTCCCAATTTCGTCAAATTTCATCTCGAATTGATGCATTCTGCAATTCACCCATACCGTCTTGCTCGTCTTCTCACAAACAAACAGCGGACAATAAGTGAAATTTGTCTTAACTTTGGATTATGAATGTCCCCATGCCTGCGAACTCTTTTCTCTCCGTTGATTATGTACATTGTGACGGCTATGGTGTATGATTTTTTAACTGAAATGTGAACTCTAGTGCTTGCAAAAGTTATACACAATACTCAGTACAATACAAAACAGAATAAGCTATTTTTTGATTGTCGGAATTCATTTCAGTTAATTTGAGATATAATACACATTTTGTCCTCAAAGTTTCACTATACGAAATTCATGATCACCATTTGTAGTTTCTGAACTTCCTAGAACCCGTACGTACGTGTTTACCAGCGTTTCTTCATAGCTGTTATGATCCAGAGCTTGTGTTTGTCCCCCTGACTCCAAGGTACAAAACACCAAGACAATTCATCCAATGTATTTAACCATCCCCCAATAATACTAACAGGAACCGATAAATGGTTATAGTTGATTCTGGTTCATATGGCCTTATAATTCTTACCTCTTCAAGGACTTTATCATTGACTTCTCACACAAGATTGCGATGTTCGTTTGCCTTTGTAGTCGGTATAAGCTGAGCTGTATTTGGCCAATCTATCCTATTGTTGTCTGATGCGATAAATTGAATACGAATTTCGTCGCCAACGTGTTTCTTTACTTTAAAAGAGAAGAATATTTATTCCGACGGGATCGACTCTGTGTGGAGCAGCTAAACTATCGTTGTCTTAATGAGAGCCATTTATTAGCGTTTGTGAAAATATATCAGACTCGTTGAGTGGTGTAATAGAGTATCAAGAAAGGTCAGTGATGACCTTACTCTATTTATCTCGGATTGATAGTGCACCACTCAAAGTAACGAAATTTGTGTGACTGTTTTAGTAGTCAGTTATTGCCCAACGGGATGTGGACTTTAATCGGTTGATTGAACAAATGGGAAACTGATTGTGGCCGTTTAACAGAGTGAAGATCCCTAATTGTTAGCTCAGATTCAGTTGTTTGAATGCTTGTTTGTTCAAGAAGACAACTTTATAAAATGAAGCGGAAGTGCGGTATTCATGATTTTGTTTAACTTCCATTTCGATCCGTTTGCCCGTACTGACAGTGATATTCACTTTTGTAGACCTGTTCAATTTTCTTTTCGATAGATGCAAAATGTATGCACGACTCGGTTAGAAAGCATGCAATTTTGAAATAGATTCTGCTTATTGGTTATTACTAGAGCAAAGTAAGAAGGCAGTATTGGTTGCATTAATAGACCTATGCTCATTACGGAGGGAAAAACAACTACTTTGAGTACCGTGGGGAATTTGAAATGTTTAGAAACGGACTAATGTGCAGATTGATTGAAAAATTGTGCACATGGCATCCACCCTTGCAAACGACGAATCTAGTGAAAAGCCGATGGATTGGATAAGGCACGTTTGAAAACTCAGGCAAGAAGATGCATGCAAGTCACGGATATCCTGTAGTCATTAAAATAACCACGTTCGGGGAAAATTAGTCAAACATCATTTTCTACTGGTGGCATTTAGTACATAGTAATATTTTATTCATAGTTTTAGAAATTTCACTTCGCGCTGTGCAGTGGGATTGTACTTTGCCGAAGTTCGACCTGCGTATTTCAGTGGCTCTTTACGCCCATTGATTCGTTCTCATTAACTCGGTGTCCGTAAAAAGTGTATCAGGTGGTGATGAAACGCATGTTACAGCTTATCCTTCACGGAAACACGAATTTTACTTAGGTGGTTGTGTATGAGTCGATTGGAGTTCTAGCAAAACTAATCTCTTTGGAACACTGCTAAACGATTGATTCTTCGGGTGTTAATGTTCTGAAAACTTATATTTGGTGATTTACATTAATGTGAGAGAACGTTCGTTTAACGATGATTGGCTTCATCCCGCTAACTTTGAAATTGCTTTTGATAAGCGTGATTTATGCTTTGAAAATCCCAGTGATAATTGTTACATTTCAGTCCGCTTAAAAACGATCCAAGGTGAACCTTCGAACACATTTTTGTGATGCAAAAAACATTATTATTGCGATTATAGTATATTCATTATAATACATAGCTCTATTCTTGTCAAGGATAATCACGGAAGCGTGTTACACGTACATGGCAACTAAAAACCATGCATGGCATTCTTACTCAAGGAATAGGTTTGCCAAGTCTGAACAAATTTATCATTGATGCTTCATAAAATATTTTTTAAAACGCGGAACCATTGACTGCCAATCACCTAAGTTATCTCGTCTGGGGAGGATGAAACGGCTTACTAGGAAGAAAACTGTGAAGGCGTTTTCACTTGTATATTGTTTGATTAGCGTTATATAAAAATTAGTAAGGGAAACGTGGAAAACAAGAACGCAACCCTTCAAGGATATGTAACTTAAAGAAAACCGAAGGAAACAATGGAATTTTATCGTTCCATTTATCGTCATTTGGCACGTAAAACAAATCGTTATCTGTCAGTTCGGGGAGGTCATCGTTTTACGTTATTGGAGATCGACACAGGAGACTTTGAGGCCTTCATTCAGAATTCAGATGGATTATGTGAACGACTTAGATTTTGGTTACTACACCGTTCCTAGTGTGCAATCACCTGCTTTGAACATGCCATGATTGAAAACTCTCTGTGCTCCCCTTGCTACTACCTTAAAGTTATCGTAAATCTACAGACCAAAACGATTAAACACATGTTGTAAATCGTAGTCAGGAAATTATATGAACCGATTGAATTGCCGCAACTAAAAGCCTAAAAATAACGCTTTGTTTTGTTGTGGAACTGTTTTTATCCCGGTACCTGTGAAACTATATTGGTTCGTGACGCGTTCCATTTAATGACATGTGGGTTTTGGAATGAAAGAGATTTGTGATTTCATTAATTGTAACAATTATGGAAGTTTGAAACGGATTTTTGTACTATGATGTCAGAACTGTAATCTGTTGCGCAATCCTGTTCCACAATTGTCTGTCAACATATACCACCTACTTCATATTTCATATTGAGAACTATAATTGTACCAAATAAATCTGTGTCGTTCTAAACATCCATAGAAGAAACCTGGTAAAATAAGGATGTTTAAAGTACATCAAATTCAAGGTGCAATATTGTGCCCCATTAAAGTACAATAAAAAGGTGAAAGAATTGATGCCAACCAACGAAATGCCTTTCAACAAAAATAAATTCTGTGTGATGCTCGAAGCCCAATCCAGGGAATTTCCACGTTGTTTTCAACTCAGTCATCACTCAATCAACCGGTTAGAACTCGCAATAGACAAGTGACGTGAATAGGCAGTTGTTATTCTGTAAGCAATGTACAGTTCTTTGGTGACCAAGCGTTGAGAACCAATGGGGAAAAAACAATGAGCATAGACTGAGTTATCCACTTGATGATGATTGGTCCACAAAGAGCAGCTTTCTGATTGGCTTGTTTTGCAATGATTCACATAAATGCCTCTTGTTTAGGGTTATTATCACAATACGTTAACAGTTTGCAATTAGTTTCGTTCCCATCGGTCTTTGACACTTGATCAGAGAATCAAAGATTATTTTTGGCAAGCATGTGTAATGCTATTATTGCAGTTTGTTTGTTTGACTCTCTTCCTTTGCACTGATGAAATGTCAGAAAAGAAACGATCATTTATGCGGTGGATTAAACCATCAAAACTGTTCAGAAGAAAGAAGTTGGGAAAAGAGAAACATACTGAGGAGAGCGCATGGAAACCGAGTTTGCCTCCAAATCAGGTGACCGTCGAGGAGGAATGTGATAGTCAGGACGATTTGGCTCCGGAAACTGAAGTCCCAAACCATTCTCCAACCCTCCATGTCTCCACGCTCCCCACGGATGACTTTGATCTGTTTGTAAAGCTTTCCAATTCCCCCACTTGCTCAGTGCCCACAAACATGATGGAGGCGGAACGTAAATGTTTTCCTTTGGAAGCGGACTTAGGTCGTAAACTGCACTTTCGACCGAGCATCGACCAACAGACAGATCTATCGGGTCGAAATAGTTTGGTCACGGAGGACCTGCGTCGCGTGATGAGTGTGATTGAACGCAAACCATCCATGCCGAAACCAACCAGTTTTAGGCGTGATTTGGCTCGTGCCAGCTTCCGGTCCAAGTCTGTACGGGAACGTGGAACCGCGAAAAAGGTCAGGTACCCTCTAACTCTGCCTGATTCAAATGGAGTTACGGATGAAAACTCCACGATTAAATCGTCTCGTCGGTTGACCGACCTTGAAGAACCAACTGACGCAAGTCACGCGAACTTGTCCAATTTGTATCGAGTGCGGAGTTTCAAGGTGACCCGAAAGGGAGTGATTAATCTGGTAAGTGCATTGTAAGATTCATAACTATGAGCACTATTAGGAAAACCAACAGGACACAACCGATAAAGCTCTAAAATAAACGCAGAGGGACGTAAAATACGAATTACTTCCATAACTTTTCACAGATAGCTTCCAGAATCAATATCCCTTAAGAGAACAAATGCTGTTCTAACATTAATCATTGAGTATTATTTTGTTCATTTATTCATTTATAGCCCATTGAGGATCAGAATTATTAGGGTTTGTGCATTTGAGTCAAGTTTGTTGCAGGGATACAAGAATTTCCACTTAATATCATCAGGTCTCGTCCAGAATAGATGAAATAATAGTGAGGTTCTCCTATGATACATGAGCGGTTGTTCACTACAAATTGAGCAGGTTGAAGTTTAACGGTAACGGGTGTACATAGATTCCAAGGACAGGAAATATCCTGTAAACTGATTTTTTTACCGCGGGACAAGCGATGTATGCGCGGTAATGTCACTTCATTGAACATGTTACATGGCTTGCACATCTCTGACTTTGGGATCCTAATTGAGACGGATCTTGCAAGCTTTTTCGGATTTCTAACCTAGGACCATAGTTTTATATATAAAATCCGTCTTAAATCGAAGGAGTGTTTTACAGTTCAGCAATTTATAGTAGTCTTTCCTACCTAAAATATAACGATGGAACAATGATGAAATTTGCTTCGGAATTACGGAACTATATGTTTAGAAATACAAATTAATATATAGAGCATACGTAGTATTTCATGCAACCAGTTACCTTCAACAATTTAATGAGAGCAAGAAGAAGCATCATGATCACAGGATGTGCTGAATTCAACTATTTTGTGATAACTTCGTCACCTCTGTACATACAGATCACTTTTGGTTAAAAGAGTGACAGGTTTGGGGACTGATGAACACACACGAGGAAGAGAAATCAATCAATACGAAGGCCAAAGGTTACTAATATGAACCGGATTGGACACTGGGGCAGGGACTGGAATCACTGCAGGGGGGAGGGAGGAGAGCAGTGACACCTACCAGCGGGCAGCGCGAGGCTGGCCACAAATTCGGTCTGTTTACACAAATCGGGCTTGTAAAGTCTAATAGCAGCTGCTCCAGCGAACGGTGATAGACGGCTACTTCTCTGGCCGATCAAGACACGAACGGCTTCCTTAGGTTTGTTACATTCTTTGCAATCCAGTACAGGTCCAGCGATTGAACTGAAGGGAAGCTTGGACCCGTTTGACGCCAATTTTTTTTGGTGCATGCTCTGCTATCCTGGTAGACAACCGTCTCTCAGTTCTTCCGACGTACTTGCTACCGCAAGTACATTGAACTAGGTAAACATAAAAGGAGATAACTGAAGAGTCGGGTTTGTCTACATTGGATTCAAGGAGCAATCGTTTCGTGCAATATTTTGAGGTAGGTATTGCTATATGTTCAATCAGTCGCTTGTTTCAATCTGCACTGTATCTGCCTATCATTTTGAGCACCCTGAAGCGGTGTGGTGACAAAAGTAGCTTTTTTGAGGTGGTGTCACTTTGTTTCAGTTTTTTCAATGATGCCCCATACTTTGAAATAAACTTTTGAAGGTATCCATCTCCTGCAGTGCCATGGATAAGCAGCAAACATGGGATGGTAACGTTTCACTAGAGCAGATTATCGTGGCTCTAAAGAGTAAACTGTTCACTAACGACAGTTTGTATTGTGTCGGCCTTCGTACTGATTGATTTTTCCCCCGAGTGTGTTCGTCTGTCCCCAAGCCTGTCACTCTTTTAACCAAAAGTGATCTGAATGTATGCGCACAGCTGATGAGTTGAATTCAACACACCCTGTGATCATGATGCTTCTTCTTGCTCTCAGGAAATAAGTTCTATTGCCTTTCCAACATGTTCTCATACATCGATGCGAACAATTTAGGATATTTCAAATATTCGACCTGAAGTCTGTAAACAAACCGGTCACACCAACTCTCAGTGTTCAGTTCGCCGTCTACTCGAATGTACCAGTGAACTATTTGCAAACAAAATGCACTGCAGCAATAGAACTAAAGATTGGTATGAATGGGGCAGCATTGAATGTGAGTGATCCTAACGAGTGTTTTTCAAAGTCCATTTGTTTCAGCAATTTGCACACCGCGAGTCACAAAGCATGACGATCACTGACGTCCGTGCTCAGTTAATGATTAGTAGGCTAATGCAATTCAGAGACTTGATCTACATAGAGGTAGACCAAAGTTGAAGAGATAATGGCGTAGCTTGAACAATGTTTGAAAAAAAGCTTTGCTTGTGGGAGAATATCGTTCGTGACAATAAAAGAATTCCTCATCATGCTCGATTTGCATACCAGTATCGAGGTTTAGCCATTTTGTACCATCGGACAGAATAATACGGTTTACTTATTCATATCATGTTTGAAAAGCTTTTGGATGTCAACGTTGGAAAGTGTGCTGTAGGGAGTAGTGATTGATTTGGGTACAAATGGATCTCACTAGAATAAAACTGTTCTGAAAGGCTTAGTTTATTTGATAAATTAATATAAATGGCAACTGTAACAAAACATTTGTTATCCCCAATGTGCAATAGGCTACCGATCGGATATAATCCCGTTGAGTCTTACTAGAAGCTAGCGTTTATAATAGTGCCTTACGGTTTGGGTTTGGCTCGTAACAAATGGCAGAGGTTCACTCAAGCGCGAAATTCCTTCCGGAGTGATTTATTACAATGATATCCAAATCAATGGATGCATGCAATGTAACCAGGTTCTAAGTTATCTATAGTAAATAGATACAATGAGTTGATCACTTAAATAACGGAATTCACTGTTCCTTATTATAACACCATAACGTTTATTATACATTAGATATCACGGCAAATGCTTCCGCAGAAAATATTCTAAAAGCAGGCAATTTAGGTGACGTTATGATTAGCATGCATGCTTCCAAATGCCTAGCTAAAAACCAGTAATATCACTAATGTTCAAGTGATAAAAAAATATTACCAAGATTTTATTCTCTAATCATCTCCAAAAGGAATAACAAGGACAGTAGTAATTACCATGTCAAGCGAATCAACTTTTTGATGTTCCTTAATGAGTTAACTGATCTACATTTCGATGCCTAGTTACATCTGTTTACCTTTTGACTAAGCGTAATGTTTTATCGCATTTATGCTTCCATACACGCCATTACGGTTAAACCAAGAGCTAATCTATAGGTCACTTGTTCACGCAATCCCAATGGGTGCGTTGTGCACCCACTGAACGGATACGTTACCGATAACCCAATGCAAATTGATACTCGGAAGTATTTGTATCAAGGATGATATGGTTGCGATTACCTTGTCGTTATTTTGTTGCAAACAGGCCTTTACACAAAAAGCGGTTTACGTTCTTCATATATACTGCACAAGGTAACTTATTTTTGGTTTGGTTCCTGAATTTACATAACTTATCAGACGTTTGTGCCAGGTGCTGCTGTTTGTTCCGGCTGAACAACTAGTAGCTGGAGACTCCAAGTATCTTAGCGCAGAATTAATCCAGAACAAATAACTTAAGGGGTGAATAAAACAAAATCTACCAAATCAAAGGACTGGCACGTACAGA